TGAAACCAAGGTTTACAAATTACATAAAGCCCTATATGTTTAAAACAAGCTCCGAGAGCTTGGAACAATAAGCTAAACTCTATTCTTAAGGAATTGAAGTTTATCAAATGTTCTAAAGAACCATCCTTATACCATAAACAGGATAAAGATCATCTTCTCATTGTTGTTGTGTATGTAGATGATCTGTTAATCACGGGTTCAAACTTGGATGTGATACTTGAGTTTAAAAGGGGCATGGCAACAAAGTTTGAGATGAGCGATTTGGGAAAATTGACTTATTATCTGGGTATAGAGGTACATCAGCATGAAGGAGGCATTACTCTGAAACAAGAAAGGTATGCATCTAAGATACTAAGTGAAACCAGAATGGAAGGATGTAATGCGGTTCACTCACCAATGAATGCAAATCTGAAACTGAGTAAGGCATCAGAAGAAAAAAATATTGATGAAACAGAGTATAGGAGAAGTATTGGATGTTTGAGATACTTGCTACATACTAGGCCAGATCTCTCCTTTTGCGTTGGTGTATTAAGCAGATACATGCATGAGCCCAAAGAATCTCATGGTGCAGCACTCAAGCAAATTCTCAGGTATTTGAAAGGAACAACAGGTTATGGTTTAACATTTGCTAGAAAGACAGAACCTAAACCTGAAACAAGACTCCTAGGCTATAGTGATAGCAGTCATAATGTAGATGAGGACGATGGTAGAAGTACTACAGGCCATATTTTCTATCTACATAATTGTCCCATTACATGGTGTACGCAGAAACAGAACACAGTAGCCTTGTCATCTTGCGAAGCAGAGTTCATGGCTGCAATAGAAGCAGCAAAACAGGCGATATGGTTGCAGGATCTTCTGAATGAGGTTATGGGAGAAACATGTGACAAGGTGTTACTCCGGATAGATAACAAATCTGCTATAGCACTTGCCAAGAATCCTGTGTTTCACGGCAGAAGTAAACATATTCATAAAAGGTATCATTTTATTAGGGAATGTGTTGAGAATGATCAAGTTGAGCTAGAACATGTTCCCGGGGATGCGCAAAAGGCAGACATTTTAACTAAGGCATTGGGACGGATTAAGTTCAAAGAGATGAGGGAACTTATAGGTGTTCATGATGTGAAGATTGGAGATATCAAGTTTGAAGGGGAGAATGTTGTGCAAACTTGATAAACCTTAAAAGACTTGAGGCCCAAGAATAAACTAAACAAGTCGGTTTAGTTAAAAGATTTGAGATAAGATTTAGCTAGGTTAGGAGTTATCTAATCCTAGTGTGTTTAGGACTTTTGGTTTTGTATAAATAGAGGTACCTAGATTGTGGTAACCCTATGAGTTGTTTTGAGATTAAGAGAGATTGTGTAACCTTTGTTTTGAGTAAGTTTCAAAGGTAATAAGAAGAGTTGTTCTTATAAACACAAAGTCTTGATCATTAGGGTTTTGACCCTTAGTTCTTAATTCAATATTGAGAGAACCCTGTCGACTGCATATGTTGGAGCTGGGAACTTTTTGTCGAATATAGAAGACACTGCGAGTGCCACGAAACCTCCAGCCAAGATTCCGACACCTTGCATGGCGAAGACAGCCGCGATGTAAGCCCCACGGGTCTTCTTGTTAGCATATTCAGACATGATGGTGGCAGAAAGAGGGTAGTCACCTCCAATACCAAATCCCAGCCAAAACCTATATAATGGTTTATATATTAAATATTTTTATCAGTTTCAAGCGTGACTAATTTTAAAAACTTGCATACGCCATGAGATTATCGATTAACTATATGTGGTGTATATGATATTAAAGTTGGATGAAAATTGTACCTGAAGAAGCAAAGGGTGGTCATGACACCCTTGGCTTCGTGGCCAAAGGAGAGACCAGAAGCGACAGAGCACACGATCATCATGATCAAAGTGAGACCATACACTTTTTTCCTTCCGAGTTTGTCACCGAGCCATCCGAAGAAGAGTTGACCAGAAAGGGTTCCACAGAGGGCCACACCGTTGACCGCGGCCGCAACATGAGGGGGAAGTTAGCCAGGCTTCGCTGACGTCGGGTTGAAGTAGTAGATTCGGCCAAGGAGCTTGGTGACCAAGGACACGCAAAAAAGATCGTACGCATCGGTAAAGAAACCCATACCGGCGATGACAATCGCCGTGAAATGATAAAGTTGCGTCTTCGCAACATCGAGTGCCTTTAGCACTCCTAGTTGTTTTTCAGCTATTTAAGCCTCTCTTGTCTCTCCTGCTTCATGAAGTAAAAGTAAATATCTTTCATTCAAAAAAAAAAAAAAGTTAAAGGAAATATCTTAACTAGAATTTTTTTCATTCAAAAAAAAAAAAGTTAAAGGAATTCCTTAGGGTCGCCCTTTCCGTTGTACCTTTCCAATTTGATTTTCTTGGATCCGCGGACGGAAACGCTTGTGATTCTTCGGGTGAAAGCGGTTTGCTGAGTTTCCTCGAGTACGCGGTCGAGTTCCGGAGCCGAGCTAGTGGCACGGTGAATTTTCGAGCTCATTTCCAGGACAGCGCATCTTAGTTCGGCAATCTCCGTATCTCGCGGATTGGTGCTGCCCATTGTTTGGACGGGCTGAGCTGCCTGGGGACGTCCGAGGAGCTCTGGGGCGTAGACAGCATTTGCGCTTCGACTCGTTTGCAGACGGTTGATCTCGTCCATGGAGAATGCTTTAGCCGCGGCCAGAAATGCGAACCGAGCATCTGTTCGTGTGTCCTGTCGACCTAGATGGTCGAGGATGTTCTGGAGCAGCCGGTTTGGCTCGGCGGGAGTTGGCGCCGCAGCGTGCTGTTCTGCACGGGTTTCCTCGAGGTTTGTTAGACGTCGTCTGCTGGGAGAGGTCGGTTCGCCTTCTTCCTGGTGTGCCGGGGGCATTTCGTTTCTTACTGCTTCTGCTGGGCCCTCGGGCGTCTGAGGTAACGATACGGGAATAGCTACCGAGGTATGGGTAGCCTTCCTTTTCGGAAGTACTCCTGGTGGGGTCGGCGTCACTGTCTCTCCTTCCGTGGAGGATGCGTTGTCGTCTCGGACACCAG